ATGGGGAAGAAGGAAGGAAGGGGGGGAAGGAAGAAAGGAAGGAAGGAGCAATTGTAACCCAAGTCAAGAGAAAAGTGTCAATACATAGAAACCCTAAGATGACCTAAATGTTGGAAATATAAGACAAGAACTTAAAAGTTGCTATTATGTATAAGTTCTAGGATATTAAATAAATCATAGTCATAATGATTGAACAAAAGAGAAAATCTTATCAGGGAAACATTAACAAAAAATAAAATGGAAATTTTAGAAATGAAAACTACAATATCTGAAATGAAAATTTCACTGGATGGACTTGACAGAAGATCACAGATGTCAGAAGAAAGTCAATGAACTCTGAAGACAGATCAATAGAAATTATTCAACCTGAACAACAGAGGGGTAAAAAAATAGAATCTCAGTGACAATATCAAGCAATATAACATGTACAAACGGGATCTTGAGAGAATAGGGCAGAAAAATATTTGAAAAAACAATGAACAAAAATTTCCTAATTTGGTAAAAAGAAAAACCAAAAAAACATTGACTTATAGATCAAAATGCTCAAATAACTCCAAAAAGGATTATGAAAATCCCACCTGGTAACATCACAAATTGCTGAAAGACAAGGTTAAAAAAAAATCTTGAAAACAACCAGAGTGGGTGAGGAAACACATTCATAGAGGGGATACAACAATATGAGTACAGCAGACTTTTCACCAGAAACAATAAATTCTAAAAGACAATGGATCAACCAATTTGTTTCAAGTACTGAAATTTAAAAAAATCATCAATTCAGAATTATGAACTCAATGAAAATATTATTCAAAACTTAGTGAAAAATAAAGTATTGGAGATGATTGGAGAAAATAGAACACTGGAGAAAATAGAAAATTATACATTGCTAGTGGGAATGTAAAATGGTGCAGCCACTATGAAAACAGTTTTACAGTTCCTCAGCAAGCTAAACATAGAATTACCATATGATGCAGAAACCTCAATCCTAAGTATATATCAAAAAGAATCGAAAACAGGTGTTCAAACAAAAACTTATATGTGAATGTTCAAAACAGCACTATTCACAATGGCTGAAATGTGGAAAAAAACCAAATGTCCATCAATGGGTGAATGAAAAAACAAAATGTGGTATATCCATATAATGGAATTTTATTCATTATTCAGATATATGCCACAACTTGGATGAAGCTTTAAAACATTATGCTTGGTAAAGTCATATAATGGAATTTTATTCATTATTCAGATATATGACACAACTTGGATGAAGCTTTAAAATATTATGCTAAGTATAAGAAGCCAGGCACAAATGGCCACATAGTGTATGGTTCTATTTATATGAAATATCCAGAATAGGCAAATCAATAGAGACAGAAAGCAGATTTGTGGTTGCCAAGGGCTAAGGGAAGGGAGAATGAGGAATGACTGCTTAATGGGTATAGGATTTCCCTTTGGGGTGATAAAAATTAATTCTGGAGCTAGATAGTGGTGATGGTTGCAAAACATTGCGAATGTACTTAATACCACTGAATCATACATTTAAAATGGTCAATTTTATGCCTGTGTATTTTATCACAATTTAATTAACTAATTAAAATTAAGGCAAAGTGAATACTAAAATACCTTTTTTCTTTAGCTGAGAGAATTTACTGCCTGCAGATCTGCACTACAAGAAATGCTGAAATAACTTCTTGGGGTTGAGGAGAAAAGATACAAGATAGAGGCTAAGAGCTCCAAAAAGAAATTAAAGACTACTAAAAATGATAACTATGAGATAAATAAAAGACTATTTTTTCTCCTTTCACTTTAAAAGATTATCTGCCTGATTAATCCAAGAATTACAATATTGAATTTTGAATGTTATAACATATTTAGATTTCAAACATGTGACACCAATAGCACAAAGGATAGTGGAGGTGGATAAATAAAATTGTATTATTAATGATTTCTTCTAATTTACATGGAATAGCCCCATATTTAGTCTGATTACTATGATAACTTAAGGAAACAGACTGTGATCCTTAGAAGAACTACTAAGAAATAATGCAGAAAAATATAACTAAAAACCCAATAAAGGAAAATATTCAATTTCTGTTTCCAATCATACTAACTCACACTCTACTTGCCCTCCCACTATAGACAATTTGAAAATTGGACAAAATTTACAAACAAACGTTCACAGACATCGAACAATGCACAACAATGATTCCTGAGAGAAGAAAAACAAACAAGGTGATTCCTGAAGGTACCTTCTGGACCAAAGTGCATGGGGAGGGGACCAAGAAGAACATAGCAACCTCTCTGAACTGAAGAGAAAGCAAGCCGAGTTCAGGGAGGTGAGGCACATGTGATGGACAGAGTACCAGAGAGAGAGAATAGAATTATGTATAAAATTATTCATGGGGTCAAAACTTACTAAACTGTACACTTTTGGTGTATGTAAATTAGATGTATATAGTAAGTTATATGTAAATTTCACCTCAATAAAGTTGATTTAAAAATGCATCATTATTAAAATAAAATATAGAAAACACGTATAGCCCTATATCTATAAAAACCTGTTACCGATTTCATTTGATAACAACAAATTTGTTATCAAAAACTTCCCCACAAAGAAAACCACAGGTCCAGGTGGTTTCACTGTGAATTCTACTAAACATTTAAGGAAAAAGTTATACCAACTTTACAAAAAATAAAAAATGCTTTCAGAAAATAGAGGAGGGAGGAAAATTTCCCAGTTCTTTTTATGAGAACAGCATAACCCTCATAACTAAAGACTGGTAGACATTATAAGGGAAAAAATTACAGATAAATATCAAATATGGAAATATAAAAGAAAAACAATACATCCAAATGAAGTTTATTCCAGTAATAATAAGGTTACTCTCAGGAACAAAAGGTTGGTTTAGTATTCTAAATCAATGTAATTTGTCATATTAACGTAATAAAGAAAAAATATGATATTTCAATATAGATGCAGAAAAAGCATTTGGTGAAATTCAGTACCTATTCCTGATAAATATTCTTGAGAAAACTAAGAATAGAAGTGATTTTCTTCATCTGATAAATGGCATATATGAAAAATCTACTGCTAACAACATAAGTTATAGTGAAATATTGAGAAATTTTCCCCTATGACCAGAAACAGGGCAAATATGTCTGTTCTCACAACTTCTATTAAACATTTTACTAGAAGTTCAGGCAGTCCAATAAGGCAATAAAAAGAAATAAAAGTCATAAATACTTGAAAGGAAGAAGCAAAAATGTCTTTATTCACAGAGGCCATGATAGTTTTTGTAGAAATTCCAAATAAATAAATAAATAAACTACTAGAACTAATAAATAAATTTAACATGGTTTTCAGATACAAGGTCAATATTTAAAAATCAAATACACTTTTATATATAGCATCAAAAAATGAGAAAATATTTCCAAAAGCAATTTTATTTTTTAAAAAGGCCAGAAGTACAAAACATTTAGAAATAAATTTAATAAAACACAAGTAAGCCCTCTACTCTGAAAACTGGCTGAGAAAAATTAAAGAAGGAATAAATAAATGGAGAGCTATACCACGATATTAAGATATCCACTGTCCCCAAATTGGTCTATAAATTCATCACAATCCTGATTCCAATTCCAACAGACAGCTTTGTGTAGACATTGATAAGCTGATTGTAAAATTTTTATGAAAATGCAAAGGAACTAGAGTGGTCAAAACAGTCTTTAAAAAGAAGAAATTACAATTATATTCCATTTCATTCCCACAGCTAAAATTAAAAAGACTAATACCACCAAATGTTGGCAAGAATATGGAGCAATTGGAACATACTTTGTTTGTGGGAATATAAACCGTTAAAACCTCTTTGGGAAACAGTTTGGCTGTTTTTTTATAAAATTAAACAACCCAATTGAAAATGGGCAAAAGTCTTAGACACTTCACAAAAGAATATATAAGAATGGCTGGTAAGCACATCAGATAGGCATTCAAAATGATGCTCAACATCATTAGTCAACAGGGAAGTACAAATTAAAATCACAATCAGAGAGCATTTCACACCCAGTGCAATGGCTAAAATAAAAAGACTGACACTACCAAATGTTAGCAAAGATATAGAGCAATTGAACATACTTTCTTGGTGGGACAGTAAAATGGTAAGCCACTTTGGAAAAAAGTTTTGGCTGTTTTTTATAATTTTTTTAAATATATCCTTATTGATTTTAGAGAGAGGAAGGGAGAGGGAGAGAGAGATAGAAACATCAATGATGAGAGAGTCATCATTGATCAACTGCCTCCTGCAAGCCTCCGACTGGGGATCGAGCCCACAACCCAGGCATGTGCCCTGACCAGGAATTGAACCGCGATCTCCTGGATCCTAGGTCGATGCTCAACCGCTGAGCCACGCCCGGCCAGGCCTCTTTTTCATAAATTTAAACATACACCATGACCTAGCAATTCTACTCCTAGGGATTTACCCAAGGGAAATAAAATATATGTCCACAGAAAGACATATATACAAGAATGTTCACAGAAGCTTTATTCATAAAGCCAAAAACTAGAAACAACTCAAATGATTATCCACAGGAGAATGAATAAAATTGTGGTCTTTTATACAATGGAGTAATACCCAGTAACAAAAATAAACTACTGATACACATGTAACAACATAAACACATCTCAAAAATTATGTTAAATGAAAGAAACCATACACAAAAGCAAATAATACCATATGAATCCATTTATATAAAGTTCAAGAATAGGTAAGACTGATATATGATGATAGAAAGTAGAACAGTGGGAACTTTCTGGGAAGTGATGGAATGTTTATGTATTTATAAAAATTCATCAAATTGTACATTTAGGATTGGAGCATTTCAATGTATGTAAATTTTACTTCAGTAAAAATATGTTTACAGCAATGTCATTAATAAATTAAAATTAGAAGCTACTTAGATACCTTATAGTAGGGGTTTAGTTAGTAAAGTATGTATCCAAATACCACAGCCACTAAAAATAATGCTATAGAAAGCTATCTATTGACAAAGAGAGGTGTTCATGACAACTTTTATGAAAAAGAAGTTATCAAACAACATATACATTACAACTGACCTGTAAGCACAAAAATGGTCTGGAGGCATTTCATGTAAGTGAGACTTGAGGTTAACTTAAAAGAGTGTTTTCACTTTTTCTACAATGAATACGTACTTAGTTTTGTAATAAGAAAAAATCTTTCCAGATATATAAATAGTTATAGATTCATAGGTACAGATAGTTTTTGTTATTCGTGGTAGTTATGTTCTATAAGCATGCCAGGAAGTCTGAATTAGCAAATACTGACCCATTGCTCTTAGGGGAAACACAGAGTTAGGTTCCTACGAGTGTCACATTTTCATCAGCTGATCAATATGTAACCTTGTTTTATGTGTACTTCTACTTAAGGACATCTTATTGAATATGTACTGTTGATTCATTAACATTGAACTCATAGCCAACAGTAGTATAACCAATGCCTGAACAAAGCTTATTTATCACGTGCATTTTCTCCCTAAGGGAAGTCATAGCCTTTTTGCACTTAAAAACACTAGACATGGTAACATTTTAAACAATATCTCCCCCAAAAAAGCATAAAAATGTGAGAAGCATGGCATTAAACAGATTGTGAAAAGGACACTTGTCTGCAGTATGAGAGTTGAAATAAGAAGGCAGATTTCTCCTTGTTCAACCTCAGCTGGGAGCATACAAGTTGGGCAACTCAAATTTTTTGCTTCTCTGTGCATATTTGCAAATGACCATGAAAATACTGCTAGTATTGATTTGGGGGTTACAAATAAACTTCAGCAAGCAGGCCAACTCACAAATGCAGAATTTGCAAATAATTAGGATTGACTGCATATAGACATATCTATGAAATAAGGTATCCCCAAGCTTTTGGTGTGCATTCCTGGGGCATCCGTGAAGGAAGGAGAGGAGGCTGATTGGAAGGGGGCCTGGAGAGACAAAGAAGGGAGGAAGCAGATCCAGAGAGAGGCCACCTGGGAAGCTGAAGTCACCTACCCCTAAGCAGTCACAAATCCACAGTCATAAGACCAGACAGACCTGAGCACTTGGAAGGAAGACCAGACACAGCAAGAGAAAAGCATGCTTCTCCTGGAGAAGCTCATCTGAACCAAAGCAGAACCCACTGACGAGAGAGCACCTCTGACCTGCAGGCTCTGCAGAGAGGCAGCAATGGGAGCAAGTGGAAATAATTGCCCCGGGACCCTCCAACCATCTTAGAAATGTGCTTAAAAGCACAGACACCGCCTTGATTTCACCTTCTGTCTTCATTGTTTCATTTTGGGGAGTGTAAAATCTTTTCAAAGGCTTTCAGGAGCCGGTCCCAAACTCAGCCCAGGCCCTTACACTCCCAGGAATCCTCAACCTCAGGCTCACAGCTAGAAAGGGGGCCACTCGATCCCCAGGCTCTGAAAGAGACACATATCCCACATTATCTGCATTTTTTCCACTCGGTCTGCAGGAAGAATTACCCTTTACCAAGACATAAACTTACCTAAAGAGAGGCCAGAAAGCCAAGGTTGAGGGAAGCTCCTATTTCCAAACACAAAACTGACACTTCAGCCTTCAGACCAGCCAGCCATGCTGGGAACAAGGGGGCTGCAAACCTCTTCATTAGGCAGGCCCTGCTTTCCTTTGCTGTGAGCATGCTGGGGGGTTGCTGTTGGCCATCTCTGACTTCCACCTGAGTGCAGCCATCTGGCTCCATTGGGCTCCAGAGCCAGGATGAGCCTACTCAGGGCTCAGAAAGAAAGGCAGGCTCTAGGCCCCATTTTCCTGTCTTCCCTCTGGGCACCAGCCAGGCAGAAGGGCAGGGGCAATGGGTGAGGCCTTCCTTCTGCTGCTGCCTACCAGGTCCGCCCGCCTCATACTGGCTCCAAGGCTGGGGGCCCTCATCTGCATTTGCTCAGAGCCTAAACTTCCAGCCCTGCCAGCCCCAGTTTCTGGGTGAGTCAGAACCAGAAAGAAATAGGCTGTGAGTTGAATTCCCTCCCCTGGACTTGGGCTTATGAGTCTCCTCCATTTCCCATCCCACCAACACACACAGGACCAGCCTCAGTGCCAAGGGATGGGGGGCAGCTTCACCCCAGTTTGGTCAGTCCAGACCACTTGGTTCCGAGATGTTGGGTAAAGGAAGGAAAGAATATGGAGGAACAGAGATCTGCTCACAGGAGGACGGCAGAGGGAGAAGCACTTAGGACCTGGAAGCCCAGCCTGACCAGTGCCTGGTCCCCTGCCCCCATGTCCCAGTAGACTCACCCTCATCACAGTTGCTCCCAGTAAAGCCAGGGCAGCACCTCCACTCCAGCGCCGTCACCGTTCGGTAGGACACTCTGTATGTGGGTCTGATCAGAGTCCTGTAACTAACACAAGGGCAGCGTCAGGACAGTGTAAGAGCCCAACTGTCCACCCCAGACCCAATTCCTGCAGAGTCAGCCCAGTCCAGGGCTCTGGGAGCTACCCAGCCAGTGAATCCTGTGGCCCCAGCTCTGTGCCACTGGCTGTGTGGCTCTGGGCAAGTGACCATCCCTCTCTGTGGCAAGTGTGCTCTAAAGTGCCTTCCAGCTCTGCCTTTCTCAAAGTCTCCAGGTGTGACCACCTATGGTAGAAAAATGTCTTGCACACTGACTGCTATGGACTGAATTGTGTCCCCTAGAATTTATGTTGAAGCCCTAACCCCCCACACACTGAGGAAAGGGCATGCGAGGACACAAAAGAAGACAGCTGCCTGAGAAAATAAAGTTCTGTTGTTTAAGCCACCCAGTCTGTGATATTTTGTTATGGCAGTTCAAGCTAAGACATCGACCAAAATAATGAATATAGAAAAGAAAAATATCATTAAAATCTTTATTTCCTTTTGTTGATTCATCCAATGAATGCTTTGAGTGCCAACTACATGCTCCACTGTGGTCACAGATGGATAAAACCGAGTCCCTATTTTGAAGAAAATCACAGCCTCTAGGATGAGAGAGAGACGTCAATGAAAACTTACAGTCCAGCAGCGGGACTCTAGCAGCGAGAAAATGCCCCACAAACTGCTGTGGCATCCAGAGTAAAATTCAAAGTCCTGGAGTTTTATTTTTTCTCACAAGTAAGTTTGATACTTATTTCGTATCAAATTTATTTTGGGATTTTGTGAAACTCCATGGATAGTGACTATAACACATATGACCAAATTTCACAGGGGCACCAACTCAGCCGTTACTCACTCTACATGCGTCACTACAACCGAGCTGCTTCATCGTGTTGGCAAACTTCCTCTTGAAAGCAAACTCCATGACTCCACGGAATCTGAATCTGCTGACACTGAGCAACTTAATCAGTGAATGGGAAAATGATGAATTAATTGGTAGCAACAGGCGTGACATTTCAAGATGCACTGTTGACAGGAAAACACACGAGTCACATCTTGAATTTCAGAAATATTGCACCAAATCTGAAAAATCCTGTTACACTAATTTCTCTTTTTAAAATCCTCTCACTCATGTTTCGTAAACATTCCAGCAAACCAGCTTCCCCCTGGAGAGCTAAGGAGGGTGTGGCTGTGTGTAGCCAGGGGCAGGAACTTTTGAGTGAGGAGCCAAAAGTCTGCACGGAAAGGTGCCCACAGCTGGGACCTGGAGAGCAAGCCCAGGCCTCTGGACTCTAGATCGGCGCCCACTCCCCTTCCCCCACCCTCCGGAAAGCAATTGGCATAGGCCAATGGGAACAGGGAGTGACAAAGAAACAGTGTCATCATCACCAGTTTTTACAGCAGGTGGCCTGGTGGGACCTAGGTGGGTCAATGAGCCTGGGTCCAAGGAGTATAAATAGAATGTCTGTGCTATAAACACACTTTCACACTTATACACACACTCACTGGCACACACTCACACCTCACATACTCACATATTCACACAGTCACATACATGCACACTCTCACATGCACACACATATGCTCACACACTCAACACTCACACAGCTCATTCACAGGCTCACACTCTCACATGCCTTCCTGCTACAGACCTCCAGTCTGAAGCAGGCCCAGCTGGGATATGGGTGAGGCTTTAATGTAGATAAAAGGTGCCAGGTATATTGTGGTAATCATTTCACAATATATGTAAATTAAACCATCAAGCTGTATACCTTAAACTTATACAGTGATATACATCAATTATTTCTCAATAAAACTGGGGGGGGGGACAAAAAAATAAATTATCTAGCAAAAACATTTTTTTAAAGATGCCAGTTTTTAAATTAATTCCTGCAATTAGATTGTTGTTCTGGCTTAGAGAGATCAGAAAAGCTTCAGAATCTCCTAGGGCAGACGTGTAAAGCAGGAAAGGGTCAAGTTGTTTATTGTATTTGTGTCCTGCGCAGCGCATTTGATGCCATGAAAGGGTCCCTCCCATAACCTCAGCACCATGGGATAGATGGAGCCCTGGGCTCTGGACTCTGCCTCTAGTACACAAGGTGGACTTGCACACGTTCCTCAACCTCCCTGAGCCTATTTCCTGGTCTACATGACAAGGACCCTACATAAACCAGAATGTGATGTGCGAGGCTACTTGGGAAAGCATATGTGCGAGGCATTGAGAGCAGAAAGGGGTGCACAGATGCTGGATTTGCAAAACATAGATCTGACCTCATTCCTCCCAGCCCACACCCTTCGTTCATCAGTCCTCACTGCAGTCAGGAGAGTCCGACCTGCTTAGCCATGTGTGCAGGTCCTTCTCCAGCTCACACAGCTACCCTGTATCATAGACTGCCCCTTGGCCTCCAGCCCGTGAGCCCTCCAAAATCCACCAGGCATTCTTCAGTCCATGCCTTGAATGACGACGATGATAAAAATACTAATGTGTAGATATAACAAGAGTTTTGATTGAGTGCTCACCATGTACCAGGTACTGCTCATAACAACCCTAACAGATGGATACTATTACTGTTCCTAATTTACAGATGAGAAAACCGAGGCAGAGAGGTTAAGTAACTTTCTCAAGGTGGTGGAACTAGGGACCCAAACGCAGGCAGAATTGGCAGAGCCTAGTAATACTAGTCTGTGTCCATTCTTTCCAACATATGCATGAAGTACTGATCTTGGGCCCCTGAACCAAAGGAAGAGCTCATCTTTCTGGCCCTCACTTTGAGGCCATGTCTCGTGCGGACATGGGACCAAAAGGAACCAGATGGCCTGTGAAGTCCAGGAGCAGAGCACACCAGTAGGTGGCGCTGCTTCACCAGCCCAGAGGGCCAGGGCTCAGAGTGGCTGACCCCTCCAGTATTACCAGGAGGCCCAAGGCAGGTTCAGTGCTCACAGCCTCTCCCTCAGTCTGGACAAGATGAGGAACTTCAGCCTTTTACATCCATAAAGAACTCCCAGCCCTTCTGCTTGAGTCCAGTATGCAAACCCAGATCTTTCTAAAATGCAGATCCAGTTTAGTGACTGCCCTCTCTTAAAATGGCTCCCAAAGACTAAAGACCAAACTCTTTAGGTCAGTTAATAAGGCCCTGCCTACCTTTCTACCACCCCTCCTCCTACCACCACCAGCCAAGGCTCCTACCACCAGCACACACCGAGCTGCCCTTCCAGCCGTGGGCTTTGCATGTGAATGCTCTTCTGCCTACCTGCTCTTCTCCTGTTCTCTGCCTGAGAAAAATCCCCAGGAGCTTTCAGGGTGTGACTCAAATGTCCCCTCCTCCTCTGTAAAGCACCTTCCCCCTGGCCAGAGTTGACAGGCTCCCTATTCAGCCCTCCTTCAACACCTTGTACCGATCATGGTGCTTGGTGTTAACCCAACACTCATTTGTGCATTCACAAATGCACACCAAGAGCCTGCTGGGTGCCAGGCACTGGGAATACAAGAATGAAGAAGGCAGGCATGGGCTTCACTCCGTCAGAGCTTGTGGCACTAATCATATCACACATGAGTACATGACCACGCACTGTTTGAGAAGGGCTATGAAGGAAAGCACTGAGTTCACTCTTCACATTATAATGGAATTTTTCTTGTGTTATTAAAATATAACTTACATACAATAAAATAAATAAAGGTAATGTTTTGCTCAATGAACTTTAATGTGTGAGTACACCAACATTCCTATCACTCAAATGTCCCCTCGTGCCCCCTTCATGTCCATTACCCAGCCCCCAGACATAACCACTCTTCTGACTTCTCTCAGCAGAGATTATTTTGCCTTTCCAAAAGTTCATAAATGGAACTTTATAGCATGCACTCGTTCGTGTCTGCCTTCTTTCACTCATCCATTATGTCTGAGTTTCATCCATGTTAAGTATACCAGTATTTTTTTCCTTTTATTGCTAAATAATATTCCATTATATAAATATACCACAATTTGTCCTTTCTCCTGTTGATGGATATTTGAATTGTTTCTAGTCTTGAGCTATAATGGGCAAAGATGCTATGAGAATTCGCATAGAGTCTTTGTAAACAGATGTTTTTATTTCTCCAGATTATATACCTATGAACAGAACTGATGGGACATAGGATGGACATGTGTTAACTTTAGTAGATGGTACAAACAAATTTCCATGACCTGTTTGGATGAACCAGTCCACACACCTACCAGCAGCCTATGAGTTCCAGTTGCTCCATAACCTTGCCAACATTTGATATTGTCAGTCATTTTCATTTTAGTCATTCTAGGGTGTATGTAGTACACTTTCATTATGGTTTTATTTTGCAATTCCTGTTGACTAAATAAAATAACTCCTTTTCATGTCTGTCATTTGCATATCTTCTTATGTGAAGTGCCTGTTTGAGACTTTTGCCCACTCTTACACTGAGTTTTGTTTCTTTTTCTTATTGATTTGTAAGATATATATAGGATGGGGCAACAGTAGGTTTATAGTTGTGAGTACACAAAACACAGAGTTTATTCTTGTATTATTATTTCTTAATTATTGTATCATTTTCCATTCAAAACAAGTGTAAACCTACTTTTGCCCCACCTTGTATATTCTTTATAGGAGACCTTTACCTGATATATGTATTACAAATATTTTTTCCCAATTTGTGACTTGACCTTTCATTTTCTTAAATGTGTATTTATGATAATAAGTTTTTAATTTTATCAATTTTTAAAATTTTATTATTTGTTGGGTAGGAGTCAAGGTTCATTGCTTTCCTTTGGGCTATCCACTTGCCCCAGCACCACTTATTAAAAATACCTTCTTTTCCCTAGTTGAATTATTTTAGCCTTGTTGACAACCAAGTTATTATTTAAATGTAGGTCTGTTTCTGGACTCTCTATTCTATTCCATTGATCTGTTTTTCTATCTTTGCACCAAAACCACACACTGTCTTAATAAATGTAGCTTTATTGTAAGTTTCAAAATCTGGTAATCTAAGTCTTTCAATTTTGT